GCTGGCTTCCATTGAGCTGCCTCCCTCTCCCTGGGGAAGAATCAGCAGCGAGAGCACAGTGAGCCCTGCACTTGGTCCCTGGTGAGGGAGATGCCCCTGTTGTGCATGCACATGACAGTGTCTCTTTCATAGACCAGCAGGAAATACCAGTGGACCAGTGCCAGTCCATGGTCCAGTGGCTGAAAACCACTGGTCTAGAGCACTGCAAGGAAGGCCAAAGGGAAGAACTTGAAAGGCAAAAGGAAAACAGGATGAAGAATCAAAGGCATGTGGGACTGCATAATGGCTAGAAATAACAAGGTTTGTAGCCAAAATATTAACTCCGTAGCACATTTCAGACATAGCACTAAACTACAGGTCAGAGTTAGCAAGAAAAGTCTTGTGTTCCTGTCTCCCTTCTACTCTAGTATAGCCACGAAGAAGACATCAGAAACTTCTAATTCCTTGTTAGATTGGCCACAATTTAGCATAGCATTGAAACTCTATGATTAACAATTCTGATCTCATGCTCTGGCCATGACAGAAAAAGTTAGGAAGAGGTGGACATACAGGGAATGGCGTGCTGCCTCACTACCTAATTTCATTTAAATGTTTATAAAACATCCATGAGAGAATTCTCACCTCTTTGATGGCGATTTTATGACAGGTGAACTTGAAGACTCTCAAGTCCAGCTCTGATTATGACAAGATGACCAGATAAGGTAAACTGAAACATATTACAGAGTCAACCCCCTCCCCCAATATTTTTTCTAAGCTCCTTCGCCTTCTTCCCTCTTTATTTTATTGATCCAAGGGAATATTACTTCATCTTGCTGCAATTAAGACTTTAAGGGCATTTCTGTTTACATATCTGGAAATAATTTTGAAACAGCAAGTTTCAATGTTCTATCTGAACTCTAATTAAACTTTAATAGCCGTAAAGATATTTGTCATCTCTGTTTAAGAGGCTAAGATCGATAGATGGTGAAGTCTGACCTTGATATGACTGATGTTTTTGTGTGTTGAGAAGGTTAGCAGCCTCCTTTGCTCTATTGCCATTTTCTTTCTCTGACAAGAAACTACTGTGAGAATGAAGCTTGGGAAGTGCATTTCAGGCATAGTGGCTCTTGATGCTTCTGCCTTAATTTGTGCATGGCTTATTTTGAAAGTCAATCTGCACTTCACAGAATACTTTATTCAGACGCAAAGATAATAAAGATTCATGGGCCCTCCCTCTTAAATTTTATCAGAGTCGAAGGAAGGAGTAAAGGAGCAATTGACTTTCAGGTTTATGATGCAGATGTAAAACAAATTTCAAACTATCGGTGCCATCTGCTGGCCTTGGAAAAATGGATTTGAGATAGAAGAAAAAGCTTCCCGCTCAGTGATTGACTGATAGAAAATTGATCAAAGTTCCTGAAAAGGGTTCAGAGAATTTTTCTTCTTAACGAATTAATTCACACTAATTTTCTAATAACAAAAACTAATATTGAAATAGAACATGACTAATAAATGTAACATCGTTAAAAGTTAATACACTGATTTAATCAATCTCTCTTCTTTTATCCCCTTTTTTCTTCTTCCCCTTTCTTCTACTTTCCCTGTTTTAAAGTGTCATGTTAAACTGTGAGCTTATTTTATAGTTATGAAGAAATTTTTGAGGTATATAAACAGAGGAAGAGGGTAAGAATGGCAGATAAACTCGAGAAGGGAAGTCTGACCTGAACACCACAGAACCAATGGAGAAAATCAATGCAGTTCAATGGAGAAAATGGAAATAATTTAGCAATCTGTGAACTAGAAGAAGTTCTGAAGATTCTGACAGGAATTTTTTTTTTTTTTGACAACCTTTGTAGATGTTTATAACATGCTTGAGAAGAGATGAAATTGATCTGGCTCCCAAAATAGAACAAGAGAGGCAGAATGATGATATTATCAATAAATATAAATACAATGAACTGCCCTTCCAAGCAAATTAAATTTTTCAATTTTTTAAGAAAACAAAGAGCAGATATAAAACATATTCAAGAAGCTCACATAGAGAAAACATTTACTTATACTTTGAAACATAAAGACAGGGCAAAGTATATGAAGTGCTAGCTCACAGTGAAAAGAAAGAAGTTGTAATTTGTATTTATAATCAAGGATTAACAGTTGTAGAAAAATTAAAAGGAAAGAAGATTTATTATTCTGAAGACTCCAAGATGCATATTGGCAGTGATATGTGCGCCAAATGATGCAAAAGGTTTTATGAAAAAAATCAATCGATACTGGATTTTCAAGATGAAATTTTGATTCTTGGTGATACGAATGGCATTTTAGAACCCAACAAGGACAAGTGTATAAAAGCAAAATGGATCAAAATCCCTAAAACTTTTTTTCATTATATGGAAATGTTACATTTGGAAGATACATGGAAATTTAAAAACCCTAGAGTTAGAGATTATACTTTTTTCTCTGGTAGACATCAGATATACCCAAGGATTGATATGTGCTGAATATCCAAAAATCTAATTATGAGCTTAGTGATTGTAAAGATCCAGCCCAAGATGCTCTCTGATCACAGTGCATTAGAAATAACTTGGCAAGAAGTACAAGTTGGAGGAAGAAGATGGAGATTGAATGACATTCTTTTATTACTACAAGATATTTTCAAGAAGTCTGAAAAATAATTGGAATAATGTTAGATTTAATAATACAAATGTTGTCTTTACAGGAACAATATGGGAAGCTAGTAAAGCATATCTGAGAATATGCTTTTTAGCAATAGTCTCTAAGAAAAAGAGAGAAAAATTAGAACAACAAGCTCCTGGAAAGAATTCAAATACTAGAATATCATAATAAGAAAGTACAAGACAAATCAACCTTAACTGAACTAAGATAATTAAGAAATCAATTAGATCTGATAGAGACAGAAGAAATACAAAAGAAGTTGAGATTTTTTAAACAAAAATATTTTGAATATGAAAATAAACCTGGAAAATACTTAGAACACTGTCTTAAACTTCAGAAGATGGAGGAGTATATAGAAGAAATATGTCTTAATTACAGGAAAAATATTGAATGATACTATTATGATTCAAGAATTATCCCAAGCTATCAGAAAATTTAAAAAAGATAGATTCACTGCTGTGTACTCCAAAAGCCTAGAGAAAATAATTAATATTACTGCTCCAACAAGTAATGAATGAGATTTAAGAAGATAAAATATCACTGCCAGCATAGCATATAACACTGATATACAAAGAAGGCTATGACCCCACCTTGGCACATTCTTAGCTGACTTATCTCATTATTAAATGTGGATTACAACATTTTTGCTTCAATAACAGCAGAAAGATTAAGAAATGTATAGAAAACCAGATTCATACAAATCAAACTGGATTTGTCCCAAAAAGGCTTATGAAAGATAATGCTCATTTTGTGATTAATGCAATTGAGTTGGTCAAGAAAAAGAAAGCAACATTTATTTTTCTAGATGTGGAAAAGGCTTTTGATAACGTGTCTTGGCCCTTTCTATTGAAAACTCTTCAATATTTAGATTGTAGTTCAAGTTTTATTAATTGGATTCAAGCAATTTATACTAATCAACTTGCTAAAATTTTAATTACTGGAGTGCTTACTGATAGCTTTCAAATGGTAAAGGGAACATACCAAGGATGCCCTTTATCCCTTCTTTTGTTTACTCTTTTATTGGAAAGTTTAGCAATAAAAATAAGACAAGACCCAAAAATTAAAGGCTTAAAAATAGATGGAGAAGAATGCAAAAGGAAATGCTATGTTGATGACATACTCTTGACCATTTGAAATCCACATTAATCTATACAGTATATAATAAACCAGATTGAAAAAATGCATTTTATTCAGGCTATAAGATCAATAAGAAGAAAATGAAAGTTATATTCAAGTTTGCAATGAAACAGGAAGAGGAAAGTATAAAAAATATTTCAGGAAGTAAAATAACTTCAGTCAAATACTTAGGGATAAATATAATGGGATATACTGGCACATTATTTCAAGAGAATTATAAAGCAATGAGGTTGAAGATTCAAAAAGATCTACAAAAATGGACTAAATTAAAAGTATTATTGTTGGGAAGAATTTCTATTATAAAAATGAATGTACTACTCAAATTGAATGTTTTATTTCAAAAGATAACAGTTTCTCTACCAGGAAAAACTCTCCAAGAGTGGCAAAGAAAATTGAGTGCTTTTATTTGGAATGGTACAAAGCCAAGGATTATATTTAGATTTTCTTCAAGATGAAAAAGAGAGAGCAGGTCTCACAGCACTTAATTTAATGCTGTATTACTATGCAGCCAGCTTGGTTTGAATTTCAGACAGGATTATGAATGTTAATGATGGGCTAGTGAAGGTAGAAATAGCAGATCTTGAAGAAGGAATACACAATAATTTATGGGCCAAAGAGTCAGTTAAAAAAGCCTTGACATCAAACAATAATCATATACTAAGAGATATTCTCTAAGAAGAAGATATTCTCTAAGAATTAGATCTCCAATTTCTTGTTTGATGTCCCTGGTTGAATCTTATGGAAAGTATTCAAGGAAAAACAATAGTCTTACAACCTAAGCAGATATGATTGATCAACAAGGACAAGTTAAACCTTGGCAACAACTAAAAGATGAAGGGGAAAAATATAGAAGGGCTCATTTATTACCAATTGGTTTCAAGATTGGAAGAGGAATTCAGTCAGGGAAAGGTACTGTAAGAGACCTGATGGAATTTGAAAAGCTTATTATGCAATGAAAGGATCATTTGTTAGGAAGACTTTAAAAGCAATTACTGCAGTTGGACACTGAAACTCATCAAGGTAAGAAATGTATGATAATTTGGACCTTGGACATATCATTCTGCCAATGGAAAGCTTTATGGAAGAAAGACATTAAATTCACAGCCAGTCAAGCTCAAAGAGAAAATTGGTATTAGGTTTTTTTGGAGGTACATTACTCCAAAAGACATAGAAAAATGAACAAGAATTATAATGGAAAATGTTGGGACTGTAAAAAAGTAGATGGAACTTTCTATCATATGTGGTGGACCTGTAACAAAATTAAAAGGTTTTAGAAGTTGATACATACAGAAATACAAAAAACCTTCAAAATTAACTTTCCTAGGAGTCCTAAGAAAATGCTTATGAATATAATGCCAGAGACTTTTTCAAAGAATATGTCAGAGTTATTTAAATTATGGCAACTGCAGCAAGAATTATAATTGCTTCTAAATGAAAAACAGCAGAATGTCCAACAACTGAAGATTGGAAAACAAGTTGGCAGCATACACAGTGATGGCAAAATTAACTAATTATGTAAACAGTAGATTGATTGAAGAATTTAATGATAAATGGAAATTTCATTATATGCAGGTAATATAGAAAAAAGGAAGGTCATAAAATATTGTTGATTATTTATAATTGATTTGAAGTGATTGGAAAATGTATTGGTTTAGAGAAAATAATTATCTTTTTTGTAAGCCTCAGTGAAGTACTAATTGGCTTTTGGGGGAATTTGCAGGTAATGAATGTATATTGTTTATTTGTGAAAGATCCCTTGGCATTATTATATTTCTTCCTTTCTGTACTTTATTTGTTTTAAGAAAAGAATACATTACATCACATTTTAAAAAAGAGTAAGAAGAGCATGAAACTGAAGCTTGCTGTGGTTCCTTTTTGTAATGCTAAACTATGGCTTATAATTCCACCCAAACTAACCCAATGGCCATCACTCTTAATTATTTTTTTCCCAGAAAAGGACTACAGAAATACATGAAGATGGACCAGAGGCTGCTTTCCAGCATGCCAGAACAAATGTTTTCAGTATCTCCTTGTTTCCTTATTTAGCTTGAACTTATTACATTCCACGGTGCAAATCATGGCCCAGCCATGTAGTCCAGGTCTCCCTCACTGCCAGCAACTATTAAACAAGGCTTATACACGAGAACTGATGGAGGACCTGTCTTCTCCCACACTGTCATCTTCAGGGCTGCTCAGACATTGCAGTGGTTCATGATTAATGAATGGCAACTCAACTTTTTTGTGAGTGGGTGCGTAGCTCCACCTGTTTTTGGGACCCTGATCATGCACATAGTGGCTTTCTCAGCTATTGCATAATCCCAACTAGCTGTACACATCTGGAATTAAGGAAAGTGTGAATTCCAGGCATGCTTGAGCAATGGCAGAATCTTAATTTTCATATATATTTTAAAAGCACCCACATGGTAATACAGATACAAGGGGACAGGATCTGGTTACAGAACAACAAATAAGGAAGCAAAGGACACCGAGGACAGAAGCATAACTAATGATAATATGACAGAGAGAGACTATTTAATAAGAGGCATTCTAAATACATTAATGAGAAAAGAGAACAGGATGTAGGCAAGAAGGCTGGCAAGGTTGTGATCACTGACCTGTAATCTAGTTGAGCCATCAGCACCATCACACTATCTTTTGTCTTTTATTGTTTATTCTGGAAATACCCGTATTAAGGAGTGTAAGGCTAATTTGGGACAGCATGAACCTTTTGCCAAGCAAGAATTGGTGATTTAATAAGCTTGGAGATTAATTGTTCAGGCTTTGCTCTTTTAAGAAAAATCAGTAATAAAATGTATGGTATCCTAGTTCCATCTTGTCTGTATTCTTAAAAAAGCATGGCAGCAAATTCATTAAATTATCAGTCTGAAAGGAAAATCTGAAAACATTTTCTCTGCTTTAGCTAATCACAAGACACCCACTTTTTCTTCTCTTCCTTAATGGGTTCTTTTATTAATAAATGTACTCTCCCGGATCTTTTTTTGTAATGCCTTGTACAACATTTTCATCTTTATCATGAAAGCCATGTCCAGCTTTTGGTTCCTTTTCTTCTATGCACTTCTTCAGCAGATTCCTTGATGAATCTAAACAAAGAAAAATGTAGAAGACATAAATGGGCTTGATGGTTCACAGTACATGAAGACACCCATTACCACTGGCTTCAGATTTATCTTTGTAGGATGCAAACCAGGAAAATACATGGTTAGTTCCATGCACCAACAGGAACACTACTTGTTTTTCAAGAAGCAGCTCCCCACACTGACTGGCAAACGCCTGTTAAGACTTAGAAACATAGAAACAGAGAGAGTCAGAAGTGGTCTCCCGGGCCATCTAGTCTGACCCCTGGCTCCAGCCGGCTCCACTCACAACATGCCCACCATGCGTATGTCCAGCCTATCCTTGAACACCCGTACCGATGGGGCCTCAACGACTTCTCGTGGAAGTCCATTCCACACCTTCGGGGTCATGACCGTCAGGAAGTGCTTCCTGGCATCCAAATGGAACCTTGGCTCCCTGAGCTTTGCTCCATTGGAGCGCATCCTGCCTTCCTCTGCAGGGGAGAACAGGTCTCTACCCATCTCCTTGTGACATCCCCTCACATACCTGTATGTTGCCAACATATCCCCTCTGAGTCTCCTCTTCTCCAGGCTGAAGAGACCCAGTTCCCTCAGTCTCGCCTCATACGGCATGCCCTGCAAACCGGCCACCAACCTTGTGGCCCTACACTGCACTGACTCTAACCTGGCTATAACTTGGGAAGCTTTCCAAAGTACCACTGGGTACACCCATCCACCATGCCATGCCGGCCTATGGAATGAACTGAATGTGAGATTTTCTGTAGCTTTTTTTTTTTGCCCCTGTTTGACAGAGGAGAAAGAACCATGTGGCATAAAAAGCCAATGCTACATGACGGCACACATTGTGTAGCTGACAGCCCCACAAGACTGAAGAGAAAAAGTGTATTTCATAGTATAATTTTGCAACTGTGGCCAGACACTCCAGAGCAAGGCATGTTACATTAATTCACAGCCAGGCACTTGGGCTTTGGCATCATGCCTCTGAGCGACGTGATTCTGAATTGCTACCTCACATTTCCATCCCTGTTGTGAAGGAAATATGACTTGATTGCTTATTTATTTATGAGAAAACAGCTCAGCAGATATTCTCGACAAAGCTGTGGAGATTTGAGAAGTATGCCTATGGCCAGCAGTGTTTTCCTTCACCAGCTGCTCAGTCATTAATCCAGCTCAAGCCAAAGTACATGCATGCAGAGATCAACATTGACATGCTAAAGTCAAGAGGATATATATATTTTTTCCAGAGCCTGTGTTGGGACTCCTCTAGGATATAACCCTGTTGTGACTGGTACAGGCTTCCTACTGCTTTATAAGTCACACAATCCCAGTGTTACTGAAGGAGACGGTCCATACAGTCTGTCAAGGCTCATAAGGTCGGATCTGCAGATAGTCCATTGCAAGGCTCAGAGACAAGTACCTACTCCAGGATAAGCTGAGAAAATGTTCAGAGCAGTGAACCAAGATTGGTGGCACCACTGGGTGAAGCAGAAGTCAGAGACGTCTGAGGTAGGTTCACAGTTAAGGTCAAGCAGGTGGTTGGATTCCAGAGTCAGCAGTCCCCAGGAGCTGGGGGTGGGGGAATGAAGTGAGGAAAGGAATGGCAGAAGACTCTTTATGGGTGCTAGTTTAAAGACATGAAGCAGGTTCACACAACGTGACAAACCACTATAGTGTTTTTTACCATTGTTTGTCTGCTGTGTCATTAAACTCAGTCCTGGTATTTCAGCATGGTACATTAGTTCTTTAAAAACCACAATAAAACACAACAGTTTGTCCTATGATTTCTGCTTTTCCATTATGGTTTCTCATAACGTCCAAACCCAGCAATGTAATTTTCATGGTCTTAGCATTCAACTACCACAGAATCCTCTGGAAAGACTGGCCAATCTACAAGCCTTTCCAGTCATCCAGCCTCTACTATCCACCTAGTAACAGATGCATCACTGCTTACCTCACTTCCACAGGCTATTTATCTCCCCATCTTCTCTGCTGTCATCCAGATGTCTACCTATCATTGTCTAGCTGCCTGAAATAGGCCTGCTTTGATTTCCACAGATGCCCCTCTGAGCAGTACTGCCTTTTCTTTTCAGTTCGAAGTATGTGGTACTTGGATATATGCTAGCAGAGAAAGAGTGCTAGGATGTTGGGGGTGAGAAGAGATAATTAGATTATGGGCACAGCCTTTGATCAGCATAGTTTGCACACCAGCAGAAAATTTTTAGAGGTGTTCTTGAAAAAATAGCCTGTAGATTCTCTGTGAAGAAATCTTTTTCAGGAAACAGTAACTTTTCCTATGCTGTTTAAGTAAAGATATGTTTTATTGTGGAAGAGTCTTTCTTGTTGGGAGAGCTGGGAAGATTTGTCCATGTTAGAATAAAGACTGCAGTGCATTTCAGTGACGATTGTGAGGAATGTCCCCATAACAGTGTGGAAGAAGACTGAATAGGACTTGCAACATATAGGTGAATAGGGGGACAGACTGTATTCTCTGGCCAGGGAGGGGGAAGGAGGACTGGCCTTCATGCTCACCCAAAGGGCTGGGAGAACACATGAATGGGAGCAGGGTAAGAGGAACCGGAATGTAGGATGGTGGGGAGTGCAGGACAGAGGAATTGGAGTTGATGGAAAAGACAGCATGGCATAGTAGTTAGAGTGCTGGCCTTGGAATCTGGGAGATCTGGATTCTAATCTCCATGCAGCAGCAAAGGTCACTATGTGACCTGCGGCTAGTCACTCATTCTCAACCTAACCTACCTCACAGGTTTGCTGTAAGGATGTAAAGTGGAATGGAGAACTATGTAAGCCACCATGGATTCCTTGTAAAAAGGAAAAAAGGAGTGTGTGTGTGTGTGTGTGTGTGTGTGTGTTCGCGCACACACACACACGAATGCATGCATGTGCAATACATTGTAAAAATGTAATATCAACGTGATAAGAAAGGAGTGAGGGGCACCAGGGCATTTTGGTGCCTGAAGCAAAGCTGAGAGAAGGAAACAGGTGGAGGTGCATGTAAGCTGGCATAGCTGGCTACCAAAGGCTATTGTCTTTAGAACCAACTACATTCGAAAGAATCCTGGACTGGGCAATAATATGGGGAAGGCAAGGGAGGTGGGGGAATGTAGAGGATGACGCCAGGCAAAGCGTCTTGGGCTTAGCCCAGAGAAGGGGATGCCTGATGTGCTGGCAAAAAGACAACCCTCTCTGCCTGCTCTCTGAGGTGGGTTGAGGCTTTCTGCTAGGCAGCGAGGAGGGAAGCAAGAAGATGTTGGCTACAGGCACAGCTGGGGAGACTGAGGGCAGACCCTGCCACACATCTGCTCTCGGTGGGAATATAAACATGCAGAGCAGAACCTAAACGATGTGCTCACGTTTCCTGCACAAAGCCAAGCCTTGGTAGATCTTCAGCAAAGAAAAGATGAAGGGGACAAGGATAGGAGGGGTGTGGGTAAAGAGGCCTCAACCTGAAGGAGAACTGCATTAGAAAGAGATGACTTCAATGGGAAGATTTGGTCCAAAGAGGCAGCGTTGGCTGTGGGCCATGCAGAAACAAGGAAAAGAGAAGGGTGACAGAGAACCAGTGGACCAGTGGACCAATCAGAAAGTGGCAAGTGATGCAGGCAGCAGGCAATGCACCTTGGGACTGAATTGCAAGCATGGTCCCCAAAGGGATGTGTGCCAAGAGTATGAACAGGGAAGATGGAAGTCATAATAACGTAGAACTATGATCAACTCTGTGGTAGATTGTGGTAAAATAACACAAACCGTGGTAACCACACAAGGTTGCATTGCATGAGGTGCAGACCACCTCATGTTATTCAAACAAGATATGAAGCCTAAAGCAACAGTTATAGAATGTTGCCAGCAATCCAGTTGGCCCGGCCTGGTCGGGCCGATGCACCATGGTACCTCCCTATGGACATTAGCTGGCCTGTGCTGCAACAACAGCTCTCTCTGCCCAAAATAACCTTGGCATACAGGATGGTAAAGTCGCAGCGTGTGAGGCCCCCGGGCTCTGACTGAGGCTGTGCTCTGAGACCCTTGGTCTGAGACCCTTGCGCACGGCCCAGGCTGGAATGTGTGCATGGGGCAGAAGGCTGGAATCAGCCTTGGGCAACAATGCTATTCATCACAACATGCAGATCTGGAGACTATAGACACAAATACCAGCACAGGCAGGCAGGCCCTGATCATGTCATCCTTCCCTCCTTGCAGGAGATGCAATGCACAAGCGCGTCACCCAAGCTGTGGCAAAGGAGGGTGCTGCAGCAGGACTTGCGGCTCGCTACGACTTTTCATGACACATGCACCCAGCTTGTTGAGGGCATGAGTGAGCTGTGCCTTACAACAAGTCACATCCAAAAGACAGAAACCTGAACTGAACCACATTCCAGTCATGCAGCAAGTCGCTGTAGATACTGGGGCTGCAATGATCCTCTCAGAACCTGGCTCTTTTCTCATGCTTGGCACTTGCTTGGAAGGCAAGCTGAGCGGAGAGAAAGTCCACAAATGCTCATGGAGCAACCAGCAACCTTCTTCCTCAGCATGTGCGCACACTGCAGGCCTAATTCTCATTATTGCCCGGGCTGATGGCAGTGGTGTCTTTTGAAAACAGAGCCACAGCATAATAAAAGTGCCTCTGTTGAGGATAACATTGGCTATTCATGTGGCAGTGCGACACTGGCTTTCATTGAAGGTTTCTGTAAACTTTTCGATGTGTTTGCCTTGTGGCAGTCACATGAGGAAGGATAAAATGGAGCATTGTCTGCCTTTTATGTATTTTTGTCTGGTCTTGAACAGGAAGCATTTCTCAGCAGTTGGGTTACATAGAGCAAAGTTCAAGAGTCCTTTGATTGCCCTACCTTCTGCCAAAGTAGTTGTCCCAGCCGTGGCCTCCGTGCTCTTCTGCCACTCCAAATCACTCTGACAACGATACTGCGAGCCCAACACCACTTCAGCTAGATTCGAGGGCTGCTTCTTCACAGCATTTGCACAGAGATTCTGAAAATACATTAGACTGATTTATGCATGAATTGTTATTCAAAATAAGATGCTTCTGAACAATGAAATGAGAAGGGACAACGGCTATATTTTCAATCACTCTTTGTGAGCTTTACAAAAGAATAATCTCTTTGTCATATGAGATTTTAAAGCAAATTTAAAAACACCCTCAGATATTGCATTTCAAACACACACACACACAACCAAAGTATGACCAAAAGCAAGGCCTAATGTGTTGAGTGTATTTTATATATAGATATAGGCACATATGCTTTTTACATATATGCACAATATAACATTTCTTGTTTCCCTTCGCTCTTTATGTATATATATCCACAAAACAGTGCACATACATGCATTCACACACACTAGATTGGATTTAGACAAAACAATAACCCACATCCAAGAGCTGAGCATAAGTGTTGCTGTCATTGAATCATAGGTTGTTGTTTACTTTTGGATTATCATGTTGTCTGAACCCAACTAAGATAACTAACCATGGTAAACAACCCACAGTTCACAACCCCACAATAAACCATGAGTTCTCTTCCAGAATTGTCTGTAATTAACAAGCCACAGCTTGTTAACACAGCTGAATTCAGACAACACAGTAACCCATGGTTCAACAACAACCCTCTGTCTGCCTATACTCAGCCCTTGAACATGGGTCATTGTGTTGTCTAAACACAATCACAGTGAGATTCAGATAGCGTAAAAGCTACAATGCTACAGACTGGACAAAATGTGGTGCTGTTACTCAACTGCAATGTTACTAGTGTGACCCATAAAATCATTTGCTGCTCAGTAATCAGTATCATGGGCCAGAAAGCCAGTAAATTCAATAGCTCATGACCTCTCAAGCGATAGGCTACAAAGACCCTGGTTCTTACCTGACCCAACAGTATCTATCCTTGGTTTCACCCCAGCAATGTCATTTCTATCTCCTTAGAGCCAAAGGTTAGTATTTGTAAATAAAAAAAAGTCAAACTACGCAAAAGCAAAGGACACTGGGTGAAAAGTATCATGGTTCTGGAAAGACTGCACAAAATACTTCCTGGCTTACACAAGAGCACCAGTCACATTTTCATCTTCACTTCCAGCATCTTCACTTCCAGAATTGCTACGCTAAGCCATTTTCTCGGGTTCAGGATAATAATAGAGTAGGCAATAGTCTCCTTTCTATAGAGTACTCTTTGCCACCACCATGATAAGGATAGCATTTCTCCTCTGGGAATTTTTTTAAAACTTCACTAAGCAACAAGAAGTTCAGACGCTGGGCTGCAGGGGTTGTACTCCCGTAGACCATCGAAAGTAACACCACTAATCAATTCTTGCAATTTTCATATGGATAAACACTGACAATGCATTAACATTTCTGCTTGTGGGAATTAGAATTTTAATGAAATCAATTCAGCTGTACAGAACATAATGTTTGGAATTACTGTTTGTTGAGATTTGTCTCCATTCATCTGGGGGAATCAGCCATGCAAGGTAGGCTCCCGCCCAAGTGTGCCTAGCAGAACTGGGATGATCACACATGTGGTTCCACAGCCAAATCCAACTTCAGATTATGCATTTATAGACCCCTAAAATACTCAATGCCCACAAAAAAGGGGTCAAAACAGGAAACTGAATTTAATCCCCTTGATGCACTTCTCTGCTCCATGCATCTGACCACTACAATATACCTGAATGGGTTATACCTGCATCGGTCCAGCAAGCACACATGTACATGATTAGGACTAATGTCTACTTGACTGCACTCAAATAATTTACAGTTGTCGCGAGCCCTTATCTCTCCCTCCCAACCGCTTTTCTTTTCTCTTTCTAGCAGATTGTGATGTGAGGTTTCTAACTTAATTATTATGTTAAAACTGGTCAGTTGTACAGTTTTGTGATACAGAGGGACTAATATAAAGGTTGCTAGCAAGAGGCATCCATTGCGTTAATACCCTTTAATTGTGGAGTTAGTTCTTGCCAATACCAGGAGTTGATTCCAAACTTAATTCTCCTCCCCTCCTCAACAAATGGAGTTGGCTCTGCCTGCAGGGAGCATTGTGATGCTTGAGGGTCAGATGGTAGGACACTGGATATTACTTCTTTGGCTAACTCTCTTGACCTGGCATCAAGGCAGGATTTGTTAGGCCACATCTCTCCTCTTCCGACCCTCACTGTCCCACAGTGACGTCTCTTGAACTGGAGCCACTCCAGTTCTCACCAGCTGCTTGACTTATTTCAAAGTTCATTGACGTTGGCATTGCGGCTTCTTCTTCCAGCTCAGTTTTAGAGTCTGAAATATACACCTTAGAATGCCATATCTTGAGAGGAGGGGGCATAACCCCTACAATAGTGCACTTACATACAAGCTGATCTTCTGGGTGGGAGAACATCTCATGCAGTTGCAGCCTTGTCCCCTAACCCCTTAGAGCAATATTATGCATACAAATGCTTCTTACATAAAGAACAAAGGCGCCCTGGTCTATCATTTGGGAATTGTTGCACTACATCATTGAAAATGAGGGCTAGCCCTTCAAAAATAAACATTTGTGCCTTCCACTTTAGAACTTTTTCCCTTTTAAATTACTTTTACTCCTTAGTAATCGACACAGCATGATACACTTTCTGTATTTTGAGTTGTCCTTAAATAACTTGCAAATAAAACTTTATTGTAATTAAGACACCAACTGGGAAATTTCCCAGCTCTGAAATGTTTGTAAACACTGTGATACTTTTATCAATCAAGCCAATCCTTTTATTCTTTTATAGTCTTTCACAGAATTTCCCAGAGGCATTTTCCAAATAAAATAACATCTAAAGAGTTTCAATATTTAAGAGTAAGTCATGTTTCAAAAATTAGATTTTAATCAACTTACATTCAAATCAGATTCCTCTGAGTATATCTGGCATTAAGCATTTTAATAGATTACAGAGTATCTTTAAATATTCTTAAAAATTAAGGCCACAGTCATAAGAGTTTGGTATACTGAAGCCCATTGAATTAATAGGATTAAACTTGCAGAACTTATAACCCAAGTGTCCAATTCTGAGTTCTTTATTCAGCTTCTTAATAATTTTTTTAAATTAACAATATTTATGAATCATTTGTATCATCTAATCTAAGCAACAGAACATAAATAAATCCAATAGACAATAAAATCATAATAAAATGCCATTGAAAAGTTTAAAGCAGTCAAATATCAGCACATACAATAACTGTTTTGCCAGTGGAGTCATGGGATGCAATCTTATATGAATCCTTTGGGGAACCTTTGAAATCTATCCTATCATCTTCTGGAGATGTGGGTGCACCAAAGTATGCTCACAAGATCTTATGATAATTGAAGAAACAGATCTGCTACTTTTACCAAGCAAACATCAACGCAGAATTGCCATTGAAATAAATTATCTTTCCATGCACATAAAAATTGCTATGCCTGTAGAAACCAAAGCACCACAGATGCAAATGCTTCCCATTTTTTCCTGGAGGAAAATATTAAATGCATGCAGAGCAGTGCCAAGCATTTGTTTCTTCACAGAACAAAACAAGGGATCTTCATGAGACACATAACACAGTGCTTTACCAAGGCTCTTTCTTCCATTTCCCTTGCCAGAGGATTAGAGTATCCTTCACGTTAGGTCCCCTGCTCCTGAGCTTTTCTGTATGTTCCAATATGTTCCATTAAACATAAATAGGGAGTTATGAGAAGAACTGTGAGAATCTGCTAGCAAATAATGGGGCTATCTAAGTAAATATTAGACTTTCCAAACTGTACAAAGGATACAAAATGGCCATAAAACACAGATGAGGCCCTGAGAAGATGACAAAGTCATGAAAATGCCCCACATTATTGCCTCTTGCCCAGATGCATGCATAAGATGTCCTATGTATTCAGACATGTGAATAATATCTACAATATTTTCCAAAATCAAAATCCAACTCAGCTTCTAGGAGGATTCTCCCAAGAAAAGACCTGAATGTTAGCATTTATGTGTTGAGGTCTTTTATCCTACAAGACTTTAGTGGAATAGAAGATTTCCAAGAGGAAATCAAGCTAAAGAATTGTGCCAAACTAGCGAATTTTATTCTAATGTATATATTTTAATTGTTATTGTCTTTATTGTTGTGAGCCGCCGCTTCAGCGAATGGGGCGGCTTAAAAATGTTTTAATAAATAAATAAATAATTTCAGCAGTTAGATTTTTTTTCTTTTTAAAGCTCTCTGGGATCACTAAATCTACAAGAGACCATGCACAACTTTCTAAAGATAAGGTTGACCATATCATGCTCCTAGAGCAGAGATGGTAAATAAGCAAGACAAAACATTTTATTGGAAACTAAGGCAAAGGTTAGTAGAAGTTGAAACTTAGTACCGAAGTTTGAGATAAAGGCTAGATGGACAGACAGACAGACAGACCATGAGCCAATGGAGCAGAAACTGTACTGCATTTTCCTCAGACTGGAAGTCCTACCACCAGACAATTCTATTCATTTATACTATGCAAGCAGCCCTGAGCCAACCCTAACCATTTATATCAGCATTGTGATTCCTGACTAACTGGTGTGTCATGGAATGCTCACCTCAGCTCATCCTCCTCACATAATTTCTGCCATTATATTGTGGATTTCTTTAGACAGGTTATATTTCAACATTGCAGGTTTTCCAGTGTATGTGTGTGTACATATACATCAGTGTGAATATGTCAGTGAGTGCTAAACTAGCAGAACTCTTCTGGGGCTGTGCAGACTGGCTGCAGTGGGCCAGTGGACTGAGCAGGGGAAAGAGGTTTTGGAGAGACAGACGCTCCTCTGAGGAGATCCTTCCTCTCATGTGGCTTCTCTTTCTTTCTGGCTGGGAAATGCAACGCTGCTTACCCAGCCTCCTCTCCTTTGTCCTTTGAAAAAGTGAAGCTTGCAAGCTCTTTTCAAGCCTGAAAATGATTATTTATTCAGAGGCAAATCACATTATCATCAATGGTCTTATTCACAAGCAAATGATATCG